AACAAGGCCACACCTACTCCTACAAGATCACACTTTCTAGCAGTACCACTTTCTATGAGCCTATAGGGGCCATTTTTGTTCAAACCACCACCAAGGCCCTAGCAAGGTTGGTGTGAACTAGCTTTGCAGAAACTCCCAGTAATCAAGTTGGTTATGGAGTAAAACAAATCTCCCATCTGTCAAGGGAGAAAAGTGACTCCCAGGCCTACTAAGACAGTTCACGTAGGCTGCGAACAAAGTGTCCGTTGTTTATATTGTTGAGGTGTTGGGGTTACACAGTATCTGCCTGAGAACCCCTCAGTGACAACTCCCCTGACTCCTTACAAAGCAGACACAGACATTGAGTGGTGTGTCTGGTGCTCAGAATGGAAGTTTATGAACTCAGGGAACAGAGGTCCGCAGACTCAGCCCACTGGTGTTGTGGCATCTTGCTTTGCCAGTGAACTTGTGATGGTAGCCACACCCTTTCAGTGTGGTTTCCGGTTCAGACGTGACCCCTTTTAAGGCAGAGGAAGGGCTGGACGATGCTGTCTTGGGTTGCATGGTGAGAGCATCTGAAGGGCAGAGACTGCATCTTCTGGAGCAGGAAGACTGAAGTGGTTATTTACTCTTATCTGTGTAAGTGCTTCCCTAATAAATACCTAATTATCATTTATCTTGGGTCTGGTGGATTCATTTTAACCCCGCCTTCACACCAGCATCTTCATCTTTTCCTCTGTGATAAAAGAAGTTGAAACTCTGCCAAAACTACAGCCTCCCCAGGTCTCTGGGGACCGGAAATCTGGAAAGAAGGTTGCCAAGGAAGGGGGTGGTCTATGTATGTGTGGGAGGCTGAGAATTGGAGGCTGTCGGGGGTGAGTGAATCCCCACGAAGTCAGTAGACATGAGCACACACTGACAGGTGGCTGTAAGCCGGGAGAGTGAGGAACCTCCATTCAGTGGAGAGAAGGACAAGTGGACCGTGAGCTTTCCACCCAGAGAAATTCTCCGTTTTGAATCTCAGCTCCTTTCTTTAATCAGCAAGTGCCCATGAATGGATCTCTAGGTTCTTGCTTGAGTTGTATCACGCCCGTCTGAACTTTGCCTTGGTGAAATGATGTGGTCCGTCCCTCACCAGAAACTCCCCAGACTGGAACAGAGCCAATGGCGCATGCTCTCTGCTTTGCTGATGTACACTGCATACCATAGCTTCTCTTTAATTTTGAGGCATTTTCTCAGTGTGTGTGTGTGTGTGTGTGTGTGTGTGTGTGTGTGTGTGTGTGTAGAAACTGAAAGGGAGGCTCATGTGAAAGCAAACAACCCTGACTATAGAGCCTTGGCTACTCATTTATCTTTTTTTTTTTAAGCTATGTGTTTGTGTGTATGTATCTGTGCGCCAGAGTGCAGGAGTTATGTGTTTGTATGTATGTATCTGTGCACCAGAGTGCTTAGGAGCTGCTGGGAACCATACTTAGGTCCTCTGTAAGGGTAGTTAGTACGTTCTCTTAACCAATAAACAATCATCTCTCCAGGTCCAAGCTCCCTTTGTCTTAACAGCTTGTTGTTGATGTTATAAATGGTGTTTATGGTTTCATAAAACTTGTTACAAAATCTATGGGAACTGGGCTATGTATGAGCTAATCATATGGTCTCACAAAATGGAAATGTCTGTAAAAAACAATCATTTCCAATCCTGAGGCATTGTCTATGCCGACAGATCTGTGTAGGGAAGAAGATTGGACAGAGCAGAGGTCAGTAGAGGGGGAGAATGAACACGTTGCTAGATTTTGTCCATCTTCATTCATCTGGAAAGCTATTTCTTTCTATTTAGATGCTCTGGGCTTTTAGGGGAGAGAAAGTGTTCTGCAAAGGTATGACAAGGTTGACACACATTAAAATGAAACTAAGTGATGGCCTAGTTTTTCCTTGATCCTGAACTTCAGGTAACTGGGTGTGTCTTTCAGAAAGATGTATATCGAGAACTTTACAGGTTGAAAAGTTTACGGAGCCCCTCCATGAATGCTGGAGACGATCTGAGCCCTTCGTACACAGACACCTAATCTCTGGGCGATCTAACCATCCTTGCCTTTGCTAACATTTCTGGAGCACTGGAAAATCCAAGAAAAACTTGAAAAAACCAAAAAAGACAATAAGAGGACCCAAGGTCAAGACTAGAATGGAAACAGATGTGCTAAACACAACTGTCTCTGCATGGTTACATTTTGTGTTTTCAAATTTATTTTATTGGAATATAACTCATAAAATCCATCATTTAAAAATGTACAAGTCAATAGTTTCTAGTACATTCACAAAGCCATACACAGTCACCATGGCCTTCTAATTCTAGAATACGTCATTCCCCGCAGGAAGAAACGCTATGCTTATTAGCAGTCTAGTTGGCTTGGATGTAGGCTTGCCTCTAATAGGCCTCATTATTCATCCATTCAGTCAGCAAACATTTATTGCTCACTTGCCAAGGTTGCAGGATTGGCATAATTTAACTCTCCCCTTTCAACAGAGGCATGCGCAGCACAAAGTGTTGAGGATCACCTACAGGGTTACATAAAGTCTGCAGGTGTGAGACGGTGGGAGGCAGGGCAGGGCCGTTTATCACTGAGAAGTAGGATGGGGAACCGAGGTTGACAAAAAAGTATACGGTGTGGTTGTAGGTTCTTCGGGAACGTTTGGGTATTGCTTAGATTCCTTTGTAAGAGTCTATGGCTTCTAGGAGTTGTTACCTCCCTAGAAGAGGTGTTTGCCAGTAAACCAAGCCCTGTACATCTTTAGACTCCTGGTCTCTCCACGCTCCCTGCCCAGTCTATACCCAACTGCACATGTTCTCGCTATTGTCACTTCTCTACTCATTTTCCTTGCATAGTTTTCTTTCACTTGTCTTTTCCAATTATTTCTCCACTTGGATATCTTTTATGTTTTATTACCTTTTCTTTTCCTTTCAGTTTTGTCCTTCATTCTCCTTCTCCTGCCACCCAAGATGCCCAACCGATTAGGATGAGAGAAAGAAGGGACTTCCAGGGTGGAGAATGAAAGCATGTCTCCTGTGCATGCACGGCCAAGTTTAGAAGTGTAAGCTCTGCCCAGAGCCTCTTTCAGCCATTCTCTTCTTTCCACTAGAATGAGATGGTATCTTTTAAGCTTTTATTGCGAATCCTACACTGGGCGGAATTGCTTTTTCCAACTATCCAATAAGGTAAACACTATGATGATCTCCAACTACAGACCCACAAATTCGAGCCTTGGAGTGACTAAATGACTTGTTGAATGTCACAAGCTAATAAATGAAGGTAAGTCATCCAAAGCCAACCCTGTTTGACTGCAGCACATAGGTGGTGACTTTATAACACTTTGCTTTGAGAGTTCCCTCTTTCTGCCAGGCCACCTCTCTCTTTAGCTAATGTTGTTTCTCTACCCAGAACCAAGCCTTCAGCCTGGCTGGCTTTTTGCCAGGGTTAGCAAACGGGGTCCTAGGCCTGTACAGCACGGATCTCTATGGAGCATTGTAACTGCTGGTGCAAGGCAGTAAAATCTTAACGGTCTCCAGGAAAGAGAGCTGTAAATTCTTCTGAAGCCCGCTTGGGGCGTAAAGGTTCACGCCTCCTCCTCTTTTTCCTCTACCCCCCACCTTCATTAACTGCCCCCAGATTTCATGAAAGGGGCCATGCATTCACACAGGGCCTCACATCCCAGCAGCCTTCAGCTGTAGCCAAGTTTATGTTTCATACTTTATAAAGAGAAGAAATCAACTTTGTTCAGGAATGTAGGCATGTGGCCTGTGCTTTGCGGGGGGGGGAGGTGGTGAACGACTAAGTGCAGAACTAAAGAATGACACAGGGCATGGAAGGCACCTCAAAGAAAAGTTTGCAAAAAATAATCCCCATGGGGGTCCTGGGATTTTTTTTCTTTTTCTCAATTATTTTCATATTGTTACTTAGTCCCTAATGGGCCAGCTGTGGTTCTTTGGCAAAATTCATTTGGTTATTCAGAACTGAGCTGGGAAAGAAATAGTGGCAGAGGTTTGAGAGGAACAGAAGTTCATCTCAGGGAATAAATGGGCATGTCTCAGGACACATGATAGGGTGACAGATGGACCCCTCTTAGAATCTCCTGTCCCAGCAAGAATTAGATGACATTTAGACAGAATGCGAGGGTTCAACTGGGGGAAGCGACCAGTGGGACGACAGGAGGGACCCATGTGTCCTAGCCGTAACACTTCAGGAGGCTGCTGTGACCTATTTCTCCAGGGTGGAAGGCTACAGGATGGAGACCCAGGTGGAGAAGGGAGGGGCAGATCCAGGGTGGGTGGGACCAAGTGGGACTGGGGCTCTGACAGGCAGAACAAAAGAGTTTTATATGTCCTGTGACATAAAACCCAAAATGTCTTTGTCCAATCTTGCCTCCCTCTTAGCTCCTACGCTCTTGTGCATTTCACAGGAAATTGGGTGCCTGTCAAATTTCTTTACTCCTACCTCATGAAATGGAGGTTAGGGTGGAGTTGGCTTAGACTCCAGAAATTTCTAGAATTTGTTTCTTTAATTAACTTTTAACACCTGTGTGATCAAAAGTGAAATACCAGCAGAACTGGCAGCCACCAGGTCTAGACTTCACCGAATGGTAGGACAGGACATGCTTGCTGGTGTGTGTGTGTGTGTGTGTAAGTTCTGTATGTATGTGTGTAAGGGAGATGAGATGAATAATTTGTACTTCAATGTTTTGCTGAAGCCCAAATCTCAAATTTGAGTAAAGAGTTGAAAATAGGGGGTAAATTATGCTTTCTTCTTACTAATGTCAGTTGAGTCTGGGGTCTCTTGGTCTCTGTGTCTCTCTCCTGCTCGCTTCCCTGTCTCTCTTCCTCTTTACTTCCCCCTTTCCTCTCTTTGGAGTCTTGTCCAGTGCCTGGCACCCAAGAGGTTCTTACCAATGCAGGGGTCACTATGGAGTGTGGAAGATTAGAAAGGCCACTGGGTCCCTCTCTGGTTTTGTCCTGTCTTGCTGCAGGAGAGAAAGTCAAAACGGATTCTTTCGGCTACCCCTCCTGAAAGTGTCCACAAGACCTTCATGGGGGAGGTGTCCTGCTCAGGAGGAAAGAATAGAAACCAGAAGCTACCAAGAAGAACCTGAGAAAGTAGGTCTGGCTGATATCTCCCAGCTTTAACCATTAGATCATAATCCAGGCACTCGCCTATAGGACTGACCATTCCTCACTAAACCTAAACACTCATAATGCTCGAGTCAATTTATTGGACTTTTCTATTTTCAATCTGCCTTCTTGTTATAGGTTATCAGCCATGGCTTTGCCTCACCTACTTTCCTCCCTCCCTCCCTCCTTGCCTTCCTTTCTCCCTTCTTTCCTCCCTCCTTCCCTTCCTTCCTTTCTTCCTTTCTCCCTCCCTTCCTTCCTCCATTCCTTCATTTCTTCCCTCCCTCCCTCCTTCCATGTTGGGTATTGAATCCATAAAAGCAAACATTATAGTAACTACACCTTCAGACTCTTACAATTACTTTTACACAAATGATGCTCAGTCTTTTTACGATTTATTTCTGTGTCTGTGTCATGTCTATGTATATGTGCCACATGTGCTCAGGTGCCCATGGAGAGAAGAAGACAGAGTCAGGCCCCCTAGAGCTGGAGTTCCAGGCAGTTATGGGCCTCCCAGTGTGCATGCCGGGGACAGAACTTGGCTCTTCTGGAAGAGCAGTGCAAACCGTAACCACTGAGTAGTCTTGCCAGCTCCAACTAAGTCCAGATTGTCTCCCATCTCTGGTCCTTAGAAATCCTTGCTGTAAGAGTAGGGAAATGCCTGATTGCCTGCTGGCAAATCAAAGCCACGCAGCTTGATCTCCATCCTTTCCCCGACAAGGAGTCCCTCTGCAGGAGTACCTGAGTGTCTGCTGTTGCTGACAGAGTAGGCTATGCAATCGGCTGAAGTCTCATGCTCAGATAATATCACAAGTTCCTATGGGCCTAGTTCCTAGGGGCTGAGGGACAAGAGGTACAAGAGAAGGAAGCTGCCCTGGGCTCTGGGCTCTAGTGAGAGGCTATCAGACGCCCTTCCTTTGGCTAACTGTCTCGATGGAGTCCCTTCACATTTCCTGTCTTCCCAGCCCCCAGCTCATATTCCCGTGACAGCACAGGTCCAATCTCTCTGGTTTCCACAGACTGTTTTAACTCCAAGCAGATCCTTACTGCTTTCCATGGTGCCTCCAGCCCTTAACTACTCAGCAGTTCCATAACTGCTATGTGGTTCTAGGTCCCAGCCAGTGAGTTTCTCTTCACTAACTCTGGGGTGGGGGCAGGTTTGAATGCTTGAGTTCTGAGATGGTGTTGGTGATACTGCGAGGACCGGGTCAGATCCCCTCTGACCACCCTTTCTTCAGACTCCCTCATTGCAAGCACATCCTGCCTTTTTTTTTTTGCTTTGCTTCCTGCCAAGCCTGCTGGATGCTTTAAGTAACAGGCCTTCACAACACTCCCGTGACGTAGGTACAGCTGATAGTCTTATCTCAAGAGGAAGAAATGGAGGCACAGAGGCTGTGTATCTCGTGCAACGTAAGTGATGGAGCTGGTCAGCCTGACTCCAAAGCTGGGGTATTTAATGGTCCTACCATGTTGGGTTAACTGCTTGAGTGTCCGCCCCATCCCCCCACCACCTCCGCACAGCTCAGATTCTCTACTGTGGAATCCCTGAACTTTATGAACATGGTACCCTATCATCCTGCACCAGTCTCTCCCCAAACTTCTCTTTGCTGCTGGCTAAATACATTAACAGGAAATAGGCATTTCACAGGCACCAAGACCTTCTGACTTCTACAAGGGAAGTCAAGTCTAACTTTGGAGAGAAACCTGAAGTGTGAACATTTTTAAAGAAAGGCAGTTCTACTGCTTCCAGTAATAGATGGTAATACAAATGAATGGCTAAAGGAACCAATCCCAGAATTCCTCTCAGTCTTCACAAGTAAATAAACACGGCTAATTTGCATATAAGCCTCATCGCCTTGGATCAGAGGCTGATCATACATCAGAATATTGCATCTAATTTTTCAGAATCTGGTAAGGGTTACAACCCTGTGTTTGTATTAGACCAGGCTGGTCTCGAACTCATAGAGATCCTCCAGCCTCTGCCTCCCGAGTGCTGGGATTAAAGGCATGCACCACCACTGCCCAGCACATGCATCTTCTTAAATCAGCTTCCCTCTCTACCTCCTTCTTGGACCAATGTGTTTTGTTTCTGACGACAAGTCTATGCTTTATGTTTTAGGAAGCTCTGACAGGCTGTGGTGAGTGGATGAGGCCTTTGGAGATGAGGCTGGTCTTTGAGAATTTGTCTACTGGAGTCCATAGACACTCCAGTGCTTCCTGCACTTGTTCAACACCAGATTCACTTCTGGTCCAAAATGCCAATTCCCCAGGCCCTCCTAGAGACCACATAGAACAGTGTTTTAGGACCGAGCCCAGACATCTGAGTGCAAAAACAGAGAGGCAAGCAAAACCAGCTCCTGGGGTCTCCTGTGGCAGGGTGGTGTGGAAAACCACTGTGATGCTGGTAGCTCTGATGGAGCAACCCAGCTAAGAGTATATTTAGCTAAGGGTCAAAAATGGAAAAGTACAGGTCAGGACACACCAAATAGGTGGGTGTGTGTCCTTTCCTAATTAGAGTCAACTTCTGTGGGTTGTTCTCTAGGACTTAGAGAACAAGTGTTACCCAGCAAGGACAGCCCGGGTCAACCTTTATTGGCCTGGTTTCACCCTCTCTCCACCTTGTGTGAAAGGTCACAGCCAGGCCATCTCTTTGGCGGCTGGCATAAAATACCCCAGACTAGGGTGTCTCATTCACTCCCCCTGAGCTTTGGGAGGCAGGGCAGCTGGCTCTTTGTCCCCGGCCGGCGGCTCATTTGCTGTGAGTTTCAGGCAACCTCACAAACCCCTGCATCCCGGTGAAATCTGGACTGTTTCCCTTCGGCTGTAGCCCAGGGTCTCTGGCTTTTCTCTTTTTCGTTTTTCCTTTTCTTTTAAGAAGCTCAAGAGAACTTAAAAAGCCGATCCTTGAAAGTTAAGCATTTCTAATCACATAAAGGTGTCTGCGGCGCCCGAGCTGAAGAGTTTGTCTGGGAGCTTCCGTCTTTCTCTGTCTCCCCTTCCCTCTTCAGTCTTTCTGGACTCTTATCTACCCAGTTTCTTGCTGGATGCTCGCCCCCCACCTCCAGCCCTCCACCCCCTCTCCCGCGCCAAGGTCTCTATACTTGGGGCGGACAGAGTAAAGGAGAAGGCCTTGGTCAGAGGTCCAGAGGGGGGAGGGACAAAGTCATGTGCTCCCATGCTGGGCCCAAGAAGACTGTGAGAAAACCCCTCTCCCCATCTGCAGCCCAACCCGGTGGGAGTCAATTAATTCTGAATAACCTAAAACGACAGAGGTATTTGCATTCACAACCTGACTGATGACCGTATAAAATTGATTTATGAATTAAAGTGCTTCCCCTCCCTTTATCCCGATTCAGTCTGTAATTGATTATACGTGCTGCAGCGAAATTAAATAAAAGAAAATTAAAAAGAAAAGTGAAAAAAGAGAGAGGCCTTTGCTCGGCAGTCCGGCATTCTCAGGGCTCTCTGGGACCAGCTATTCTAGCTACCACTTATCATTTTTTGTATTTAAAAAGTTTCTTCCAGCTTAGCTTCTACCTCCCTCTGTCCCTGCCCCGTCTCCACCACGGTTAGCATTTTCTTTCCCGGCTTCCTCCTCTCTGAACATTTGGGTTAAGACAAAGCATCTCCCAGGTAGAACTGCACCTGGGAAAATGTGAGAGGTGAGCAAAATGTCCTCCGTCTCCTCCCGTTCTGCACTGGTCTTTGTCCTTTTGCTTACTGCCCCTCCTCCGCTTTTTGACTGCCCTCCACTCTAGCTGGATAACAGCAAAATTCCCATGTAGCAAGCTCCATTACGTATTCTTTTTATTTATTGATTTATTGATACAGGATTTCTCTGTGTGACAGCCCCAGCTGAGCCGTCCTAGAACTCTCTTTGCAGACCAGGCTGGCCTCAAACTCAGAGATCTGCCTGCCTCTGCTCCCTGAGTGCTGGCTCCTAGCAGGAATTATATTGATAATAAGCATTTTAATGGATAACTGGATAACCCCTTTCTGCAGAATTTTTCCACAGGAATTCAAGGATGAATGTGCAATTACAATATCTCAAGGTGCATTTAGCAAAAGGAAGTTTTCTATTAATAGGAGGGGTGTTTTGTTTTGTTTTGCTAAATACATTTTTATTTGATATTATACATAGACCACAGTAAGTGCCTTCCAGTGGTAAAAGGCAGCATCTTTTGACTTAGGGGATCCTAATTAAAATGACATGATCAAGTCAATAGACAGTTACTTCCTAACGTTTAGCCATTGCCTGTAACAGACCAGTGAACACAAACTGAAACACAGGTGAGTCTTCTCGTTTCTGAGACAGTGACAGAATTTCCCCAGTGTTTAAACATACTCATATGCCCAGTTATATAAATTTAAGTGTAAGACCATTCAATAGGTTTGAGGTAACACCCCCCATCTTTGTGGAAAGTAGAACTTTAATAATTAGGTCCAATCCTATCTTGAGAAAGGGAGGGCAGTGATAGTATTATTCAATTCGAATTGTTATTTTAAAAAAGGTCACATCCACTTTGCTACAAGTCAGTTTTACTTAAACCAGGATTGTCCAGCAAAAAACATTGTTAGCCATTAATGATCTGAATTTTAGTGTATGAATTAAATTACAGTACACATTAAAAGTCATGAGACATTGTTTTGTAATAAGCTAAGGCAGCAAAATTACTCATTAGTAACCCCTTTAAGATGAGGTATTAGGTCTGTCCTCTCTTCTTCTTCTTCCTCTTCTTCTTTTTAATTTAAATTAGAAACAAGCTTGTTTTACATGTCAATCCCAGTTCCCTCTCCCTCTCCTCTCCCTTGTCAACCACTAACCCCCTATCCCATCTCCTTTCTGCTCCCCAGGGATGGTGAGGCCTTCCAAGAGGGGTGTTTTAATCAGGGGCGAAGAGGAGCAGAATTCAAACCACCCAGAAAACGTAAGAGCAGGCTTTGAAACGTGTTGGGTCAGGGATCTGAACATTGCCACCTTTGTGTTCCTGGTTCATCACTTTCTTATTCTTTCTGTGACTGTTTAAGAGACAGATGCCTGTTAAACTAGAGGTGACATGTACAAATCCCCTTCAAGTACAGCTCACCAAAAATTGCAGTGATGCCTGAATCCTTGCCTAGCCTACTTTGAAAACAAGGCAGTTCTAGCTCCAGCGTGCTCTGGTAATAGAAGGATTAAAGGCTGTCTGCCTACCTCAAACCCAGTGCTGCTGTTTGAGCAATACATGGGGAGCTGTTTGTCACCGAAAACTAGACTTTGAGCACACTGCCTTTGCAGTGACTGTCCCATTCTCCCCTCTCCTACCTCAGCACCTCCTAGTTCTTGATACTCATCTCTCTGCTTCAAGTTGCTGCATCTTTGAGTCTCCTTCCTGATCACTGAGACGAGCAGAAAACTGTGAGAGAGTTCTCAGAGGTCCTGGTACACAGAATACCCCACCCATGACTGAATGGGCCCCATCTTTTCCTCTTCCACATCAGGACCTCAGGGATGTTGCCCCCAGTTCCTGGCATTCATTTCCCTGTCTCAGTTGCTGTGTTTTGCAGTCTCCTTCCTTCTATGGCCTTTGGCGGGTACGAAGCTGACTCAGTTCCTCTAACGTCTGATGAACAGGTTAGTGGTAAAACCCGAATTAAGTGCTGTTAGCCACGTTTCACAGAAAGCTCACAAAGCAGGAAGTGGTTGTTCAGGCCTGGCTGGAGAAAGGTCTCTTTGTTGCTAGCTGGCATGAAATCTGCCTTCTCAACAAGGAGCTCTTCTGAGGAGAGACCCCTGAAAAGGCACGTGAAGTGAAGTGGCAATCCTGTGAGAACCTCGAAAGTTAGAATCTCTCCAGGGAAGGTTCAAGAAGTGGGAGTGTGGTGAGAAAACTCCCGACAGGTGCTGAGGCAGCACTGGCGAAGGGAGGCTGGCCTGCAGAAGAGGCTTGGAAGCCCGCTTCTCCCTGTCTCAGCAGGGCCTACCTGAAGTAAGGTTAGACAACATGAAGATCCACACAGCCTAGTTCACCCACACAAGACCTTCGTGAAAACTCCAAGCTTTTTCTTTCCTTCTTTTTTTCTTTTTCTTTTTTTGCTGGTTGGGATCATTAAGGGAAAAAAAACCAATCTGTGAGCATATCTGTACACTGAGGAGCTGTGTACTGAGGTACTGGGTACTGGGGTACGGAGTACTAAAGTGAGTGCAGAAACATAAGGTGACAGGAAGTTGCTGAGAGAGAATTCCTAGGAGACAAACCATCCCTACACCTTTGCCAGTGGAAAACCCCATACTCACAGACAAGAAGAACACAGCAAGCATTTTCTATGTTTGTAGAGGTCAAGAACACCAAATTAATAGAGAGGGAACTAGTGGAAGAGATGTAAAGTAGATGATTCTAATTTCTAAGAACCTCCCTTTTTGGGTCAAGACTGGGCTGGTGAAACCCACAGAAACTGCTGACCTGAGCAAGGGGGAGCTCATGGACCCGACTGATGGCTGAGAGGCCAGCATGGGACTGATCCAGACCCCCTAAATTTGGGTGTCAGTGAGGAGGCCTTGACAATCTATGGGGTCTTGGGTAGTAGATCAGTATTTATCCCTGGCATATAAATGGACTTTGGGAGCCCATTCCACATGGAGAGATGCTCTCTCATCCTGGACACATGGGGGAGGGCCTAGGCCTTGCCTTGGATGAAATGACAGACACTGGAGATCCCCCCATGGAGGGCCTCACCCTCCCTGGGGAATGGAGTGGGGATTGGGTAGAGGCCTGGGGGGACTGATGGGGGATGGGGGAGGAGGGGAGGAAGAGGGAGTTGGGATTGACATGTAAAGCAAGCTTGTTTCTAATTTAAATAAAAAACAAAACAAAAGGAGAACCTCCCTTTCCAAAAGAAACAAAGAACTTGGTGACTAGTTCCCTAAGGCTGATGGTTTCAAAACCCAGGTGAAAAGATATTAATGGCAGACTTTAAGGGCACTGCCTAGATTTCAGATTGGTGTTCCTTCCTCTGAGACAGGGTTTCTCTATATTGTTTTGGAGGTTGTCCTGGAACTCACTCTGTAGACCAGGCTGGCCTCGAACTCACAGAGATCCGCCTACCTCTGCCACCTGAGTGCTGGGATTAAAGGTGTGTGCCACCAATGCCCGGTCTTAACCTCCAATATGATTGTATGAGGAGGTGATGAGGCTGGTGAACCATGATGAATCAGTATTTTATGAAAAGTAATTATCTCTATTGACCATGAAAGACATAACCAGAAGATAGCTATTGGCAATTGTGGAGTCAGGTCAGACCCTGAACCTGACAACACTTTGATTGTGATCTTCCCAACCTCAAACTGACTATGAAGCTGAGAATGACCTTGAACTCGTGATTTTCCTACCTCCTCCTCCTGAGTCCTGGGATTATAGCTGTGACCACCGAGCCCAATATATTTACTACTGGGAATCAAACTCTGAGCTTCTTGCATGTTAGGAAAGAACTCTTCCAACTAAGCTGTAGCCACATTGTTGGTCTTTGAACTCTTTGTTGGAATGATCTTACATAATACCGATTGCTTTTATGGTTCTAATCAAGGGGTAGAAATGATTTCTGAAGGCATGAAGTAGCTTGCAAATACAAACAAACAAAAGCAAGAAATAAAGGAGTTAAGCTGGGCAGTGGTGGTGGCACATGCTTTAATCCCAGCACTCAGGAGGCAGAGGCAGGCAGACTGGTCTACAAAGCTACACAGAGAAATCCTGTCTTGAAAAACCAAAAGAGAGAGAGAGAGAGAGAGAGAGAGAGAGAGAGAGAGAGAGAGAAGAAAAAGAAATAGTTTGCTAATTTCTAGAAAAAGACCCAGCACAAATAGCAATGTTGTTGGACTGAGTGGCCATCATTGTAACCATGCCTGTCAAAAGCATAGGACAGTTCACAAGAGTGCTATCACAGAGTCTAATCTTCCTTAAGCAATGGCTTCCTGGAAGATGTCAAAGCTCAAGAGAACAAAGACCAAAAACTCAGGTTAACAGTAAGAGGGGCAGGCTAAAGAGTTGTTGAAACACACAATTGAGGTTCTGGGATTGGTTTTGTCATGATGGCCTGTTCAAACATTCTTGGCAAACCGTTTAGGTATGTGGTTGCTTTTCTAGAAACATCTTTCCCTTTGGCATCCCAGGGGATTTCTTGCTGTTCTTAGTGCAGATGTTTCTCCTGTTCTTTTTTCTATAGTTGCTACAGGGATATTCTCTGCTTTGGTGCAAAGGGGACTCAATCTTCCAATATCCTAATAGGTCTTCCATGGTCCCCCTACCACAGGAGTCACACCCCCACACACTTCAGTCTCTCTCTTCTATGGTCCTTCTACCACAGGGAACCCTCAGTCTCTCTTCTATGGTCCTTCTACCACAGGGAGCCCTCAGTCTCTCTTCCATGGTCCCCCTACCACAGGAGTCACACCCCGACACACTTCAGTTTCTCTTCTATGGTCCTTCTACCACAGGAGGCCTCCGCTTCAGTCTTCAATTCCACTGCTGTCTGCACTCTTGCTACAATTACATTGTCTTTTTAAAGGGCAGAATCTGGCCCAGTCCTGAAGAACTTTCTTGCTCTTATATTTGGTTTACTTGGCCCAGTTTCCCAATGAATTTAGTGTTCTTGTTTTTTTGTTTTGTTTTGTTTTGTTTTGTTGAGACTCAGTCTCACTCTATAGCCCAGGCTGGCCTGGAACTCACCATGTAGCCTATACCTTCCCTGAACTTCTCACAATCTTTCTGTCTTGGCTTCCTAAATCCTGGATTTTAAGTTGTGTGTTGCCATATCTGGTTTCAGTTCAGTGTTCTCATACTTACCAAAAGGGAAATATGTTATTGATTGATTGATTGATATTGTCATTAATATTTGCAATGCTAGGGATCAAACCCAGGGTTTCACACTTGCTAGTGGAGCACCTCTGAGCTATATCCACATACTTGTCATTTACAGACAGCATTTTTCCTAACTGAGCTAAAAAACCTCATTCTGCCTCCAACAAGGTTCTGCAGGTTTGCAGGGTAACATAAGAGCCCATTTTCTTGGAACCTGGCTCTATATCTAAGATACCCAGAAGGTAACGAGTAGAGAACAAATCCTAGTCAAGATAATAAACAAGGACTTGGCAGCAAGTCCCTGTCTATGAAAGTAAATGCAAAAAAAAAAAAAGTCAAAGAAATGAATAGATACCTGTGGGAAAGGCCAACAGCAAAGACTTTCAGGAAAAGAAAAACGAGTAAATGGATTCCTGAGAAAGATCAGGTCTAATGTATGCAATTCCTTTGACTCAACAAAGGGAGTAAAACAATCATGGTTTGAGTCATGGGAAAAGATAGGCTAGGATAATAATAAAAAACTGTTTTCGATGGAATGATCTAGTGCGCTTGCCCCTTTTCTCTGATTAAGATGTTTCCCAGGTGCCTTCAGAAGATCGCTTGTAGTTTTTCTTTCCGTTTTTTGTCTTGTTTTAGCTTAGCTTCTGGTGGTGCTGGGATGTGACATCCATCAATAAAAGAGAAGTAGATGACTGCAGTTAAAATTAGCAGACAGAAGCCGGGGCCTCAGATGAGAAGTTGCAAATAGTGAAGTGCTGTCTGGAAGAAGACGGGTTCCCAAAGGTAAACTTCAGTCCTGTGGATGAACAGGCCACCCGAAAAACTGCCATCCGGCCATAACCGCTGAAGGGTGAGGAACAAGCATGCACTCTGAGCTGTTTAAGTCATTAATCGTCTCTCGTTGGTCACCACTGCACATGCAGTGCCTGACACAGAGAGCACTGCGGGAAAACTGCTTTTGTCATTCATAAGCAAGCCAGAGAAAAGAAATGAAACCCTCAGGGACTTGTAACATTTGCTTGGTGTGTCATTCGTGAGTAGCCGCGTATTTGCTGTTTCCAGAATAAATGCTGTCTCAGGTGGGAATGACAGGTTGAAAGAATGTTGGTCTGGGTTTAATAACAAATCAGTGTTTTCGCTCAGATGAAGAAATAACTTAATAATTACTTCAAGATGGTGTCTGATGGCCTGATATTAATATATACAAAGCAAGAGAATGTATACCAAACAAGAAAACTTGAAAATGTCACATTCATTTCTGACTAGACACTAGCTTGAGGGGATAGACCAATTTCACTAGAAATATGAGGACTTGTTTCATCGAAAATCGTCTTCTAACCTTTGAGCTGAAGTTCCAGACTTGCAAAAGAGTGACTCTCCCAGGTCTGTGAGTTCCCCTGGTGCCCCAATCCTTGTACCACATCAAGCTGTATGCTCTAGAGAGGTCCTCCTCAGGGACTGGGTTCAGACAAACAGTGACAGGTAAGGGACAAAGGTGCTAGTGGGCTCCCGGCAGCCTCTGGACTGGGCGGAGCAGAAGAAGGACTGACTGGAAAAGTCCCGAGTTCTGACACTGGGAAGGGGAGCACCCCAGTCGGTGCCTTACACCCACCACACTTCAGATCAGGCGAGCATCCTAGCTGCCTCGGTAGTAGATCCTCACATTCCTTCCACCCCACCATGCCTAATAGAAGCCTGGCTCTGATGACAGCCATTGTTCCCAGTTCCTCATGGTCATCTTGGAATGAAGGAGAAAGAAATCCCATATCATATTTTACTCAGATTTTTCCAAAAGACACGGTTGAGTCCTACGAGTTTGTTTTGTTTCTGCTACAGGAATTTGCTTATCTGATTGCCAAGAGATCCTCCCTAAAGGTTCAGAGGCAAACCTCCCAGCAGATGCTGGAAAACAAGAGTTACAGCCTAGTGAGTAATGGCCCCAATGCTGCACGAGGAAAATTCATCTTTGCAGAAGACGCGGAATGCAGTTTTAGGGAAAAGTCAGTGTTTTCAGAGAACAGGGGGCATAAAAATGTGAGTCTAGTATTTAAAATGCCAAAATTATTTTAACATGTGTATGTTTAATATTTATATGAATATTATTTTTGAAACAAAGAACAAATACAGACTGTTGGGATCAATAATAAATCACAGGAGTGAAAGTCAAAGCCCTGAGCCTATGGGCACTTCAGAAACAATTCTGGTTTTGAAAAACAACCTGAAATTCTTAAGATGGTTCCACCATTTATAACTTCACGTGACCTTCATAGCAAAGATAGGGCTGACTCCTTGACTCCATTCTCTGAAGGTATGGATGTTTAAAGTACGACAATCCTTTAGAAGATAATTCATTATGGGTGTGTGATGAGTCACTGTTTAAAGTGGGATAATGGTGTGTTTTCCCAATTTCCTGTCTGGTATGAGCATCTCCATTCCATAAACATTATTAATAGAAGGGGGTGGGGGAGAGAAACGTAGAAGCATGAGACTGCCAAACAAGTTGGATCTGCTGTAGAATTAAAATTGGATGTCTACCCTAAGGACGAAGCGGTAGGAAGTTTGTCACTTTTGAATTTAAAGTGGCCTTTTGTAGCAGTTTTCTGAACCCCTGGGATAAAGAAGGTTGATTTGCGATGGAATCTCCAGCGCCTGCAGTCATATATTACAATATGTTGTAAATCCAGCGGGTACAATATAGATTTCACAGGGGGCCCTGGGGTTAATTGAAATTCCATCTGTTTCTTCCGTGTGGGTTAGAATCCTAAGATACTCACTCAGGGTAAGATAAGATTTACAGTCTTTAATTTCGGCTCAAGTAGAAGTTTACCTAAGTCTGTTCCTGTCTTCCACACTCTACCTTCAATTTAAAGAAGAGGGGAAAACAGTTTAAAAGGCCAGCCTTTACTTTCCTCACAGCTGCCCCCAGGCAGCCCCCCTTCCTAGCAGTGCATGCTGGGTAATGCCATGTATTCTTAGGTTTCCAATGGCCCCCATTACTGTCAATTAGTTACGGAATGCTACAGAGATTCATGCCTGACAGCTCGGGTAAAGGCAGGAGAAATGGGCTCAGTAGGGAGCGAGGGGCCTGATTCTTTTTTGTCCACAAGAAATACCTTTCTCTGCAAGGCTTTTAATAGCTTTCCCTTCTTTCTTTCCTCTGCCAGGGCTCTCACTCCCCATGATCCCAGCACACACACACACTCATATATTCATATGTGTTCGCGTGAGTATCACACTCGACTGGGGGAACTCTCAGAGCGGAAGGCTCTGAAGTGACCATGCAGCCTCTCAGGGCATGCTTCCAATTCCCACTTAGACCTCGCTCTGATCAGATTCCTAACTCGGGTCTCCTCAGGTGTCCTGTCCCTAAGTGGCCCCTCAGCTCCTGTCTTACTTGCTATCATTTCCTCCTCTCTAAAGGAGAAGCGCAGCCTGGCTACAGCCGGCAGCAGGCAGCTCACAAGGTGAATGAGGCCTGACCATCCCGACCACTCCCACAGCCCGGGACTTCTTTCTCTCCTCTTTTTTGGCTCCTCTTTGTCACATCTCCCTCTCCCCTCCTCAGATCCACGGAGATCATCGCACTTACTCAGGAGGTAGTCTCTCCCTCCCTCCCTGATTCATCCCAACATTTATCATAACACAACATTCCCCATCGCCTTAGCATTCTCTCACTCCAACCCTGGAACGTCTGTCCTCGGTGTTTGAATAGACTCCTCCTCCTCCTCACAGACGTTTGAGCTCAAATGCTACCGACATGGAGACTTCTTCCTTCTTCCTGACGGACTGAAGGAGAGCTGAAGGTTCTAGGAGCCACAACTCATGCTCTGTCCCCCACCCCCCACTATATGTTCCCTCCATAGCCCAATTACTGTCTACAGTCTTCTTCATCTGTATGCTTATGCGCTTCCAGCCGCCTTTATTACAAGGCTTCATTAAGACAAAGACTGTCTTGTTCACCAACCAAACTGCATCTAGAAAGCAACACCTGCCTCAGGCAGGAGTTCCATATGTGAGTTAAAAGTGAATTAAAGTGTGTTTTCGGGGTTAGAGGAAACCTGCTTCACACCAGAACAGTTTGCTTATTCTTGGCCAGCTGCCATTGCTTTTCTGTATGAACACCAAGCTTTCCTCATGGTCCAACACAAAGACAGGGTTAGGAAAAACCTGAGAGGAAAATACCAGATGCTAGTAGAAAAAAATAAGCACAACGCTTAGAGTCATCCTATTCCTCCAGATGGATATGAGAACAAGGATGGGCTAAAAATAGCAGAAGATGACACACTGGAGAAAAACACGTCTGCAGCAGTTTATGCCTGGGTTATTCATAGTCTCTGCCTCTTGCTTTCCTGGAGTCTGACCTAGTGAGAGAGTCACCCAAGGGCTGTAGTAGAGAGACAGTCCTATTCTGTCTCATCCAGCCATCTGCGAGAGACAGAGTAGGGAGGCCCAAGAAAAGGGTAACGGGGTAGGACAAGTTAGGGCCGGCTTTCAGAATGTAGGCCTTAGAGTTCAAGAGTTAGGAGGCAGAGTTCCTGACTGTTGCAGTCAAGAGAATGACTGAGAAGACTCGACTCTGAGCATTATGTCTGCAGCTACTTCATATTGTCAGCCTAACGGACTTGTTGCCCTACGAGTCCTACAGAATCCTCCAGCTTCTTATTAATGCCTTCTGAAGCGAATAGTCAATACCATCTCATCAGTGAATCTGCTGTAATTCTCTGCCTTTCAAACTTGAATATGCAGGCAGATGACCTAGTAGCTCACTAAAGTGCTGACTCTGAGAAGGGTCTTGGGACCCCACATTTCTATGACTCTTTCCAGAAATACCCCTGCTGCTGGTCCACTGACTCTCCAAGTAGTCACTTCGCCCGCCATCTTGTCTACACATTAAAATGGATTTGCAATGACAAATTGTCTTTAACCTGAGTTAAATAGCAAAAATTACTTCCTATACATTTGTTGCTACAGACAGGTCAAAAAAATTCTATGGCCCATGTACCTTTTAAAGTAAGTTAACCTAGGAGATGCTGTGAAATAATAAATTGGCACATAGCCTAGGTATATTAAAGCTGTTTCTCCAGTGTATTTTTATGCGTAGACTTGAGTCAGAAATTATCCAATGAGTTTTCCTCTCTAGTGGAGTAGTTTTAGCATGAAAAGTGCACTATGCAATGAATGGGGTTGGTTGGAGGCAAACAGACTTCCTGTCTACCTAGCTTTTGTTTGCCTAATCTACTGAAGATGGGGGGGTGATGCAATGAGGCGGGGTACTTCCTACTATTATGGGTTGGATGCGCATTTGCTCCCTGAAGCTCTCATGCTGACACTGCCATTACAATGGTATTAAGAGGTGGGATACGGAAGAGGTGACTGGCCACATACACTCTTGCTTTGTTGGTGAGACTAAGGCTACTATGACAGGACCAAGTTTGGCCTCCTTCTCTCTTGACCTTCTGTCAGGCTATGACGTAATAAGAAGACCTTCAATAGATGGTAGCACCTTGACACTGGACTGTTTGACCTCCAGAACTGTGAGCTAATAAATTCTGTTCACTATCAACTACCTGGTCTGTGATACTCTATTGGTGTTGTAATATACCACAACCGGACTAAGATATGTAGGTAATTGTATTAGCTACTTCTCTTTATTGCTGTGATGAAACACCATGACCAAGGTAATTTTGAAAAGTAAGTGCTTAATCTGGTTTACAGTTATCAGTTGAAAATGATGGCAGAAGTAAGGCATGGCGGCAGCAACAATGGCGAGCTTACATCTCAAGCTGCAATCAGGAAGCAGAGAACACACTGGGAATGGCATGAGCCTTTGGAAACCTCATAGCACATCTTCTCCAACGAGGCCACAACTCCTAATCCTTTCCAAACAATCCTACTGATTGGGGATCAAGTATTGAAACATTGGAGACTATGAAGCCATTCTGATCAAACCACTACAGTAACCAATAAGTAAGATTTGTTTGGGGGGAAGTATAGCAAGCTAATCACACCTGCACAGGGTTAATCCCGCCTATGGTGTCAGCTCTCGTTAACATGCAGGTTTGAGACTCAGTATACGGAAGCAAGTGCCATTTATAAATCTGTGAGCTCACAAGGGGACA